AGAAAACACACACCAAGGTTCTTGTAGAGGTGCAAATGCAAGGTACAGCAGAATAAAAGTGAAAAAATGCATAGCTCACTCACATTAAGTCCGTGAGGAGCAAGAGAACAGGTGGGGATCCGGAAATGCTCCTTGAAGCACTTACGGATTCATCAACCTAAGACTCTTGCTCCTCACGGACTTAATGTGGACTTTGACCTAAGATGCTTTTTATATATGGTCAAACTCTTTTGTATTGTTCTTGTTCTATTTTTCTTGTTGTAGAGTGGGCTGAACTCACTGGGTGACCTCACTTTGGGGCCTCCCATTTATTGGAGGAGTATATGAGCACCTGGGCTGGCAACCGTTTTGTATATCGTGGTCCAAAGCAAGAAAAAATATGACAAAAGCTTTTTTTGCTTTGAATATCGGCCATCTGAGTGTGCTATGCATTTTTTCACTTTTATTTAGCTGTTCACTTGAAACCTGCGATTAAATGACATCACAAGGTGGAACAGAGCATTTTGAGCTTTGGAGATGCAGACAGACTGCTACTCAAACATGTGTGAATGAAACAAAACACAACTCCAGGTCTGTTTTTGAGGAGGTAACAACATCATAACATGGCTCAAAGCTCACAAGCTTTTGTGTAATATAGGACCTTTACATAACCACAGATCTGACTTGTAAACTGCTTGTCTACATGGAGATAGATTTAATGCCATACTGTGGGCACACAAACATAGAGCTCCTTTATTAAGACTTAAGTGACTGTATTTTATTGACATTGTTCTGAGTTTCAAACTGTGAAGCACCTTGAGAATTTGTCTCAGAATAAAGCTCTGTGTAAATAAACATATTTCCTTATAAGGAAGAGGAATAGGAAAAGAAACCTGACTACATCATCAGACCTTGAAGTGATGAGCACAACCAACAGAAGTGGTTTGATAATATTGTGGACCTTTAGACTGTTAGCTAATCAAATAAAATACAACTAGGCCAAGGCTACAGCTACAAAGAACCAACATCCATGACCACATGCTTGCCTTAAGGACTGAAATAAGGATTCAGATCACAAAGCCCCTGAAGTTTTTTTTTTTTTTTTTTTTTTAGATAAATAAACATGAAATAATAAACAAATACTTTACTAAGTAACATACTTAGCCTAAAAGTACACTGTGTAACTTTCCTGGAGGAAGATCTGCCATCTGCTTTTATCTCGTCTCCATGGAAACGTTATTGGTTTGCCCAGAAAGTCCTACCACATGGCAGTAAATGTACATATATATATCTGTGAAGACAAGAAGGTGATGCCAATAGGCCAAGTGACAGGTCAGATCTGCACAGAGGCGACCCCACTCACAATAATAATGCATGATTTTTCAGAGCATTTTGAGCAGTAAAAACAGCAGTAATCTAATATGTGGAAGATGGACTTTAATGCCATATTGTGGAACAGTATCTTGAGGTCTTGTTCATGAGTGAGGGGAGGATGGAGCGTGGCACTGACAGATGGATCGGTGCAGCATCGGCAGTGATGTGGTCGCTGTATCGGACCGTTGTGGTGAAGAGGGAGCTGAGTCGAAAGGCAAAGCACTCGATTTACTGGACAATCTATGTTCCTCCCATTACCTATGGTCATGAGCTCTGGGTAATGACCGAAAGTACAAGATCAGCTGAAATGAGTTTCCTCCGCAGGGTGGCTGGGCGCTCCCTTAGAGATAGGGTCAGAAAAGCTTAGCCACACGGGAGGAGCTTGGAGTAGAGCCACTGCTCCTCTATGTTGAGAGGAGCAGTTGAGGTGGCACAGGCATCTCATTCAGGGAAGACCCAGGACACGCTGGAGGGACTATATCTCTCAGCTGACCTGCGAACGCCTTGGGGTCCCCCCGGAGGAGCTGGATGAAGTGTCTGGGGTAAATGAAGTATGGAAGTCACTGCTTAGACTGCTGCCCCCGCAACCTGGCCCCAGATAAGTCGAAGAAAATGGATAGATGGACTGTGGAAAAGTCCATGCAAAGCAATAATATCTCTACAGAGACTAGAAAAGTTACTTAGGGCACCTTTATACCACAAGTTACTATGACATTTTTTTTTTTTTGTTATTGGGCTGGCGAGAGTTTTATGGCTTTATGGCTTTAGAAAATACTATGTAACATTTCTGGTGTCTGCTTCCTGTGTGCCTTCATAGAGATTTTATAGATTATTGCTATGCTGATGGAATGTTTCACAGTGTGGCATTAACTCTATCAATCTTGCATTTATTTCATTACAGGCTGAACAATACCATGAAAAATGACCTGACCTTGGCCAGGTGGCATCACATTGTGTCCATGGAGACAGATACGTTTAATGCCATGCAGTGGAACAGTCCTGGCAGAGCAATTATATCCCCATGGAAACAAGAAATTATTATTATTTTTTTTTTTTATAAATTACTAAAACATACAAAACATACATACCCTTTAATAGTGCAGTTCATACATTTGAATCATTTTGCAAAGTTGAAAACATGTGGGTTGTCCTTACTTTTTTATTATATTGTTGCATTTTTGAATCAGAAAACCAGCCTAATCCATCACTTCTGACCAAAATCCTCCCTCAGATCTGGAGACGCTTAATTGTTTGTAACTTTCCGTGTTATTCCGAAATAGACCTCATAATTTGTTTTATAGATACAATCACCCATTTCCAAAAGTAGCAGACATTCATATCAAAAAGCCCCATTCCCAATCACGGTCCCCCCAGGACACAGAGAGATAGCACTTTCTCAAATGAGTCTGTCTGAACCTGTAGAAAAGATGAGCTCATTTTGTGAAATCCAAAATCATATCCCAGGGCCAGACTAAATGAGCACCAGGAGAGTCCAAGGCAGGTCCAATGAAGCACAAATCCTCAGAAGATCCCCCAAAATCATTACAGTTGTCACTCAGCGCGTATAAAAATAGGCCGTATTTAAATGTTGTGCATAATTAATGAGCTGCTGTAGTAATAGCACCAAACCTCAATTAGCAAAGCGGATATTAAAGATTCTCACAAAATTTACTTTAAATCACTACTCATGAAAATTTCAAATCAAGCTAATATGTTTCGCTTAAAATAGCTTTGGAAAAAAGTGTGGTGATCTGTGGAATAAATTCTAATTATGTCTTGTTATCATTTGTGTGATATTTTGAACTGTTCTATACAATATATTTACAATTATAGATTATATTAACATCTGTAAAAGTACATAGAGAAAAGATTCTGTCAAAGCTACAAAATGTACTGCATTCCAAAGAAGGAAAGTTGTATTTTAAAATAGACCAAATTGTGTAATAAATTCTACTTGTCTGTCTTGTCTCATTTGCATAATAGTTTGAACAGTTCTTTACAATATGTTTACAATTCTAGATTATATTAACATCTGTAAAAGTATGTAAGTAAAATATTCTGTCAGTGCTACAAGAAGTACTGCATTTCAAAGAAGCAAACTTTAAAATAGGTTAGAGTGGCCTTGCTCCAGTTTATGAAACCGTATTACCAGGAGAGAATATGAAAGACAGTTCTGTGTAAAGTCAATGTGCGTTCAAAGCAGAGGGATGGGTTTGTGCCTTTGTCTTTATTGACATTTCTATAAATAGTCCAGAGTTGTTCCTGATTCAGCACATGCTATAGAACAATGATACTGCGGCTTGTGTAAACCATGTTATTTTACCCCTCATGATTCAGTCTATTGTGTCATCCATTGAAAATGAAATCTAAATAATATAAATTAATCAAAATAAATAAAAATAGTGCAGCGTTTAGTTAAAATCTGTATTTTATAGCCCACTGGTTCTAAAATTGTAGTATACGTGATACTACACAGGATACTACAGAACAACTTCTTACTTTTATGAATTTAGTTCTGTTTGTTGTAAATTTTCTGGAGGAGGATCGATGAAGTTGGTTGCACTTTGTCTGGAATGTTTCACATTATGGCATTAAACTGACAGATAATTTGCCAGGACCATAAAACGTTCACACAGAGCTAATGCAAGAGGGTCTACTAGTGGTAACGGTGCTGTTCCTGTGAACAGGACAACTCCTGGTCAGTCTCTTTCTCTACTAAAGGGCCCAGACTGTGGAACTGTTTATCAGATTTTTTAAAATTGGAAACCAATAACAACAAATTTCACATCAATTAAAATTATTGTATATTTCCAATCAAAAATGCATGTACACTACTGGTCAAACGTTTTAGAACACCACTCTTTATCCAGTTTTTTACTGTTTACCAAAGAGTACTGTAAACTTTTGATTTCTGAAAGTGTCCACCTTTAGCAGATATATCAGCTGAATACACTCGTAGGATTCTTTTTACAATAGAAATCAATTATTCTTCAGAAAGTTGTTCCCAAATCTGTTGCAAAAGTTCCTATAAATGTGTGGCACTTGTAGGTTGCTTCACTCTTCTGTCCAGTTCCTCCCAAACCAGCTCGATGGGGTTTAAGTCTGTGCTGCTGGACACTCCATGTTTTCAAGCTCACCATCTTATTCATTTTTCTTGAGGTAGTTCTGGCAGAGCTTGGACTTGTGTTTTTGTACCGATAATGTAGTTTAGATTTTTTTTTTTTTTAATGGACAGGTGTCCAGCACTTGTGCTAAACCACTCAAAGCAATGCATCTGGCTTGTCTAATGTGATTGTGATGTCCTTAATAAACATATATAAATGAATAAATAAATACGCCAGGAAATAAAGTGAAGACTGTCAAGTTACAGGTCAGATCTGTGGAGAGGTAACTCTGCTCACAGTTAGAATGTATGTTTTTAAAGGATAGTAAAAGTAACACCTCAAACCAAATAAATGCCAGATAGATAGGTTTAATGCCATACTGTGGGACATTCCGTGCAATGACAAAACATAACATTTGAACATGTTAGTTGAAAAAAGTGACATAGTGAACTTTTAAATTTAGATGTACCAATTTAGATCTTGTTGTTAGAATCAAACCTTTCCAAAATGTTGTAAGTGACTTTGAGAACAACAAAAGTGAGTTTATATTAAGAGCACTAAGAGTACAGAGAGCAGACAGTAGAAGAGAACGCCCCCTGTGTTCCTGCCGTGGTTAAACTCATCATTGGTAGTGGGATTGAGCGAGCCCTCACAGTGGCTCTTGTCCTCCCCCACACAGGAGGCGTAGGCCATGGCGTGAGCGATGTAGCTCTGCTCCTGGACGCCCTGGAAGAGGTGAGACATGGGACCCCGAGCCAGGACCGCCACATCCTCCCCGCTGTGAGCGGACGACTGTAATGGCACGGCCGAGTACTGCACGTAGGTTTTGGTTTCTGAAAGTAAAACCATTTTTATTAGTCTCTCTTAATTATGTGCATAATTATTTATAATGCATTAATCAGGTATTAGATAAAATTACACGTGTAACACTGTATGATAACACCACATGATAGTCACATACGAGCATCTGTCTATCCTGCGTGTTATCATACATTTGAATACACAGAATAAATACAAAGATATATTTTTATTCTGTGATTTATAGGGGTGTAACAATAACCGAAATATCATGAAAGTTCTCACAATAATATCTTGGACCATCACAATATATTGAATTACAAGTCTCTTTGCTTAAATGAAGAGTTATGGTGCAGCAATACCTAAAAAAGACAGACGGAATTACATAGACCATAATCCTTTGCTCCATTTCAGTGTAGACTACATGAAGAAATAACAGTTCTAAGCACTTTTAAGTCTTTCTTCTTTGGATTAAGTCTTGTCTCCACAAAATATTGCAATAAATATCATACCATGAGATGTATATTGTGAAAATATCGTTGCGAGAGATTTGGATTTTGTTACATCCCTAATCGTGAGCCTCTCCACCATATCGTGAGCTTTTCCACAATGTTGCAATAAATATCGTACTGTGAGATGCACACCATGACAATATTGTGAGCCTTGGATATCGTTACACACCTAGTGATTTATTAATAGCTGCTTTTACACAATGGAATATGCAATTAACTTAAGCAGTTTACGATCATGCAGATAATCATAAGTCCAAAAGTCCAAACCAGAAACAAAATACCAAAACTAGAACTACTGTAATAGTATGTGTTGTGTAGGCCTATCTCTGTTTCTTACTTGGTTAAGCATAACATACACACAACTAAGTGCAACCAAAATGACACTTCACCTTCCTCACTCCTGTATGTTTTGGCTGTACTCATGTTCATGTAAAGACTGAATTGATTGTTTTCTTACTAGTATCCACGCCGTCCAGGTTAGGCCTTGAGCCGTTGACACGCTTGTGTCCTGGTCCGCTCCCGTACATCAGTGTAGTGAAAGGCTTAAAGTCCATCGCCCAGAGAGGAGATTTACCTGGAGAAAACAAAGGCACTTTTGAAAAGAACTCTAACAATAAAAGAATGAACAGTGCCAGAATAAGCAGGCAAACTAGGCAAGATTTACAGTGCTGCCCACCTGGCCAAACCACAAAACCATTCATTTGGATCCTTATGTTTGAAAGAACTGACAGCTGGTTTTGAAGGCAGGTGGCTTCGGGGGTCCTCCCTTAACAAATTTTCTTACAAAATAAATGCAACTTTTCTGTAATCTATATATTGAATAGGACCTCTACCTCTACAGCCCTAGGCCCAAAAACAGAAAAAGGACACACAATCACTACTATACTCAGACAACTAGCATTCCTACATCTCTCAGCACACACACGTCCGACCACAGAGGGAAAAACGAAAGCACACCCGATCATTATTACTATGGAAAGTGACTATTTCCATAACTTGCACACAGCTTACAATCAAAAACAAAACGCAAACAAACAAGTCTGTACTGGGAAGGGGGGCTGATCCCAGCCTGTGATGGGTTTTCAAAGTGCCGTGGGCCCCAGTGTGTCGCATCGGCTGCACCACCAAATGCCACGCCAAATGCCACGCCATTGCATAGTTGGAGTTAACCTGTGCAGACTGCAGAGTCATCACTCACAGCTGAAGTGTAAAAAATCCCTCAGTCGTCTAGGTAGAATCCATGGCAAAGGAGAAATAAAATTTGTCAACTGGACAAAAGTTTATTTGGTTGAATACATTTTGCAACTCATCCAAGCTGCTTCCTCAATTCTGGTGAGAATGCGGGTGTACACTTCCTTATATCTGAAGTCAGGGAAGAGCTAACTACAATGAAACTACTCTGAAAATAACACATTTACTTAGATGAGCTGAGAAACATATTCAACCAAATAAACTTCTGTCCAGTTGACAAATTGAATTTCTCCTTTGCCACTAACACCTGATGTTTTTTTTTTAAAAGATGTTCAGATAGGCCTGACTGGGACAGGGACATGATTGCTCTGTGATATAGATGAATGAATGAATGAATGAATAAATAAATAAATGAATCACACAGGATTGAAAAACATAGTGGATTTTTGTAGAATCAGTGAGCGAAGCCCTAAACTCTGTTAATCTTGTGAGTCAAATGTAATTTTATTCTAAATGAAATACTTGCCAGGCCAGTGACTGACAATTCAGCCTGAATTCTAAAATCACAACTATTATGTAATTTTGGAGTGTTCTCTAAAGGCATAGAAGACTGTTTGAAGAGAGCAGGCGAGTGAGGATGGGGGAGAGGGGGTCCCAGGGGCCTCAGGTCTTAAGTGAGTTGAACCTCTCTGTTTCTCTCAGATAAACCATTAATTCGACTGTCTTCTGCTAATGTAGAGCTCAAGGCCGGACCAGAACATCAATCACAGCACTACAGAGGGAACCAGGGTTAAACCAGGACTAAATCAGGACTAAACTACAACTAAACCACAAGACTAAACTACAACTAAACCACAAGACTAAACTACAACTAAACCACAAGACTAAACTAGAACTAAACCACAAGACTAAACTAGAACTAAACCAGGACTAAACTACAACTTAACCACAGGACTAAACTATAATTAAACCAGGACTAAACCAGTACTAAACAAGAACTAACCGAGAACTAAACCAGGACTAAACTACAACTAAAACAGGACTAAACTAGAACGAAACCAAGACTAAACCAGAGGACTAAACTAGAATTAAACCAGGACTAAACCGAGACTAAACTACAACTAAAACAGGACTAAACTAGAGCTAAACCAAAACTAAACTAGAACTTAACCGGAACTAAACATAACTAATCTAGAACTATACCAGGACTAAACTACAATTAAACCAGGACTAAACCAGCACTAAACCAGAAACTAGACTACAGCTAAACTATGACTAAACTAGAACTTAACCAGGACTAAACTACAACTAAACCAGGACTAAACTAAAACTAAATCAGGACTAAACCAGCACTAAACGTGAATCAAAACTCCAACTAAATCAGAGCTAAACCAGGACTAAAACAAGACTAAACAGGGACAAGGCCAGTACTAAACCAGGACTAAACAGGGACTAAACACAGTGGCCACATCAAAACTGGGACCCGGAACTAGACCTGCTTTAAACCAGGAGTAGAATGACACCAAACCAAATCTACATAAGGACTCAAACTGGAGTCAAAACAGGCCTAAATCAGGTCAAAATTACACCCAAGACAAGACTAAACAAGGCTTAGGACTAAACCAGATTTAAACCAGGATTGAACCAGGTCTTTACTGATGTTAATAAAGACAAAACCCTGTAGTTCAGAGGAACATTAATCACCCCTGTGCCATTGGGAGCAGAGTCTAAGTCGATTTTGGATCCTGTTGACCTATAGGCTCATTTCACTATAATCTATCAACATCTTCATTTGGCACAGGTCAGTGGGCAGACCTTTTCACTGCAGACGAATCACTGCAAACATAATCTTTTAGGGATCGACTCCAAAAACATTGATCACTTACAAAACCATTGCAAATGCTAAACTAATTGTGCTCACATCAGATTCACATCGATGAAATTGAACCATCATAAATCTAAAACCGGATTAAACTAAGACTAAACATGTTTGAATGAAGATTAAGGGGCAGTGTGCAACTTTTCAAGTGAGAGATCTGCCACCTGCTCGTCTCCATGGAGATGTTAATGCTTTCCCTGGAATGTTTAGAGAAGCAACAAGGAACTTGACTGAATACACTCAGGTCCTACAATACTCAAAATTATTCTTGTGAGCTTTAAGCCATGTTATAATGTTGTTATCTCATCAAAACCATACATGAAGTTGTGGTTTGTTTTATTCACACATATATGAGTAAACCTTATACATTTAGTTCAGTAGAGATTGGAAATTATCCAAATGATTCTAGTGAAGTTGTAGTTTAAAACACAATGGAGCACTTCCTGTTTTAAACAAGTATGTTTTTGGTGAGGAAACATTATAACATAAATCAGAAAATATTATAGCCCCTTAATGCCTACTGTCACAAATATGTGACAAACTGTTTGGATCAAGATATAAGCTGAGATAGCGGCTGCATTTCCTCAGTGCCAATTAGTGCATATGCAGGACCTTCCTAGAAACCTTTGGCAAGCACTTCTTTCTAGTTGTTGATAAATTTGCTACATACTCAAGTTTCTACTTATTTATTTTTTTGCTGTAGTCAAATTAATAATCTCAACTTAATTTACCATCTACTTAAAGGCAAAAACACAAACAAAACATTTTATGTACATCTATATAAATCCTTGCTTTAACGTTAATGGGACCTTTAAAACAGTTAATAGGTCAACAAGTATATGCAAGAACAACCACTTGTAACAGATTTTTTAAAACAACTAACTTGGGGTAAGTACAAGCACATTTTACATGTTTTTGGGTTGCAAAAGGATGTATAAAGGACCATTCATTGGATTGGAAATGTATTGTTAGTCATAGTTACCGAGAATGCTTTGCCCTCTGAAGGGGTATCCGGTGAAGACGATGGGCTGGGAGTGGTCAGCTGTTACCACAGTGAGAGTCTCCTCCTCTTTAGTCAGCTCCAGAGCTTTGGCAATGGCGTAGTCAAACGCAACTGTTTCGTGCAGTGCCATGTACCCTCGGCCATCGTGGTGAGCCTGGTCGATCCTTCCACCTTAAAACAAAATACAATATAACAAATATTCATCATTTTGTTGAAATATGGTATCTAAAAAGTTAACTGATATATCAAAGGAATTAAAAGAAGAATATACAGACAGAGAGGGGGGAGTGGGTCGTCTATGGTTTCCTATTCAAAAGGTGTGAGGTGTGGTCTTGCTCACAAACTTAAAAAAACTATAACTTAGCCTAATTTTGACTGATGCTCTATTTTAAAGGTACAGCACAGAACATTTCTAGTGGAGGGTCTGTCCTCTGCTTATGTTATTGCTTTATCTAGAATGTTCCAGTTGTCCTTATTTCCAAAAGCAATTATTATATTTTTGAGCAACTGAAACATCTGTAATGAACAAATGTTAGATGGATATGTTTAATGTCATATCATGGAACATTCCAGGTAAAGCAATAACATCTCCATGGAGATAAGTAGGTAGCGGACCCTCCACCAGAATAATTGCTCAGTGCACTTTTAAACTAGTACTCAAAATGTTTTGTCCCTGCCTATTGACATCATCTGTAATTTATTATTATTATTTTTTTAAAGTCTAAACACTTTCCCCAGACTAATTTGGATCAAGTCAGCTCTCCACTCGTCTTCACTTTCCAGATGCCTAGAAATTGCTCCAGTAAATTCAGTCTCCACTCTTTCTATTCCAAAAGTTAGAGCTCTTACCTGTTTTCAACTTCACAACTAATAACTCTCGAGAATTGTCTGTTCAGTGATAACAGCTACAGAAATATCTCGCCGGTAGAAGTCAAACACATAAACTTTGAGAGCTTCCGTTATTGCACCTGTCTTCTACACCTGTCGTCTGCACCTCTGCAGGAGACAGACGGAGCCAGACTGAGGTTAACAAGATGTGCAGAGTTTGTGCTAACAGCCACGTGCCCACTTCTGTTTGTGCAATGTTATGGCCAAACAATTACATTAAGCAATATTCTTGCAATGTACTACAAATACTACTATTTCCTTTTGCCTTAAAAGTGCACTGTGTGACTTTTCTGGTGGAGGGTCCGCTACCTTCTTGTCTCCTTGGAGATGTTACTGCTTTATCTGGATTATTTCACATTATGGCCTGCACATGGTAAGAACTCATGTTTTTCAGTGTATTTTTGAGCTATAAAACACTGAATTAATGCAAGACAGATATGTTTAATGCAAAGAAATAACATCACCATGGTGCATCACATAGTGCACCTTTAATGACATCTTTCAGAAAGAGATATGAAGATGAACAGGTTGTAGACTGGCTAAACATAGACTATCCTTTGATTGCAAGTGAAATCTATTTGTACTTTGACACTGAGGTCCAATAAGATAACACATTCAGAACTAACTAACTAATGAAAATTTGCAATTCACAAATAAACCCAAAACACAAGTATTATTTTGATTGTTTTTTTTCAGCAGAGGAAAAACAAGTTTTACAAAATAAAGGATTTACATTAGCAATACAAATGTACAAAAATACATGGTAAAATATCTGTTTCACCAGTGTGTCCCTTAAAGAGCTGTACACATTTTTCCCATGTGTATAGAACCTTTAAATGTTCTGTTGTAAATTAAAGAGGGGGTATTATGCAAAATGTTATACTAGTAATGTTGAAAAAAAAAAAAAACATTGCCTGAAGAGATTATTGGGGGCCTATGGGGGCCAAACGTACTGCAACAGCCCAATGCGTCTCAGTAAGAGAAAAGGGCTTCAAGTACAGAGACAATGCAAAGTCACAAACTCAAACACAAGTTTAAACAAGGTGGAGACAAAGAACGTGGTGCAAATGAAAAAAAACTCGCTGCAAGAAACAAAGACAACAAAAATGTATCGTGATCAAACATGCTGCCAATAGAGAAACGATGCAAAGCACAAAACAATGAAAACCAAGAAAACACCTGCAAACAAAAAATGCTGAATAAAGAGTCACTAAAATCAGAAGTGCTCCAAACCTGCTGGGGGCGCTCTCAGTGTAACAGGTCAATGGACAGACACACCGGATGTCAAGAGAGAAATGCTCTGCCTATGAGAGAGACCGAAAACGGCCAACTGACTATAAACTACAGAGGGAACAAATGATTGTTAGGGTAATGTGGCTTTTATTTGATTACATTCATATACTGTTTATAAATCACTGTACAATCACGTGCCATTTATTTTATTTGATCATGATACATTTGTTTTTGTTTCTTGCAGCGTGTTTTATTCATTTGCACCATGTTTTTTGTTTGTACCTCCTTTAAACTTGTGTTTAAGCTTGTGAATTTGCATCATTTCTGTACTTGAAGCTGTTTCCTCTGAGATGGATTGAGCTGTTGCAGTGTGTTTGACCCCCATCGGCCACCGTAGGGATTTCAGATGTCATGCATGCAGGTGTGAGTATTTTAGCTATCTTTCCTGGGCACTATTCGAACCTTACTTACAGTTAGCAGTACAAGCCTGCACAAGACTCCACCCACAAGCCCACCTCACCCATGCACCCATATAGCAATTCTCCATAAATATAAAAAAATATATATATAATACAAAAATGTACTCCACAAACATGAGCAGGATATGATGATTGATGATTGTGTGGTGGCGCTCTGAAGGGGAAGTGACTTAACATGGGGAGCAAGGTAGAGGAGCCATGGAGCGCCAAAAATGAAAGTGAATGTTAATGGCGAATATAGCATTTTCAAAACTATAAAAGGTAACATGGGAATCTAAATATGTGTTAGTTACTATTCCACAGAAGTAAAACACCCCCACTTTAAAGGTTCACTATGTACATTTTTTGTTGGGGGTCATTGCTGTCATTGCTCTGCCTGGAATGTTCCACAGTATGACATTAAACAACTCTACCTTACATTTATTCAATTACAGGTGTTTTCATTACCTAGAAAAACGACATTCTGACTGTGAGCAATGCTACCTCTCCACAGATCTGACCTGTAACTTGGTCTGGTTTGGTCTCCATGAAGATAAAAAGGTTTAATGCCATACTGCGAAACATTCCAGACGAAGCAAAAACATAACATAACATAACATAACTGAGAAAGGCATTTGATGATTTTTTTTTTTCAATGAATCACTGCACTCACCCTCCACCAGCAGGAAGAAGCCATTTTTGTTCTTCTGCAGGATGCGGATGGCCTTCTCTGTGGTCTCTACAATTGAAGGGTCCATTTTGGGATCTCGGTCCGCCTCGAAGCGCAGATCTCCGGGTTCAAACAGAGCTGTGTGGGATGGAAGAGGAAGAAAGCACTGAGAAAGTACTGTACAGAGCTGGAATTAGCCAATACAGTGGGAAGGGGCCATGCTTCCGCTGCTGTGCTCAGAGTGGAGGAAGGAAAGGTCCAAAAACTAAATATAAACTCGTGAGATTTCTCAAAATTACAGTAGGCCTAAGAAAAGATGTGTCGAAGCCTTGTACCACAGTGAATCACCGGCCTCTTTCTAACTCTCTCCTCTGCTTCCTCTTCTCACAAACCAACTTTAACTTCATGTTGTCTTTCACTATGTCCTTAAATCTCCTCTTTGGACAGATTAAAGTTAAAGGGCCCATATTACGCTATTTTCCAATCTATGTTATAATGTTGTTTCCTCATCACAAACAGACCTGGAGTTGTGTTTTTTCATTCACACATGTTTAACACAAACCCTGCATATTTAGGTTCTTCTCTCAAACACAACACACACTGTTCCATTATGGTAAAACAGGAAGGATTAAACTCCATAAATCCTCAGTAAAATTATTTGGATAATCTCAGCCATGGAATTGTAAATCTTTGCCAAACAAAAGGTCAAACGTATGCTGTTAACTGGAAAACTACCACTGCATGACGTCACAAGTAGTGTTTTCAGACCGACAGAACTGTTCTGGTTCCTGTACCTAATCTGACTGACATGTTCATGCCAAAAATCAGAGCGTCCGGGAACTGAAAAGTCATTTCCCATATGGGAATCAAGTAAAACTTTTTTTTTCTAAACGAACCATGATGACACAGTATAAGTCAGCAGGTTCATCCTGGTCACATGTGGTAAAATAAACAAACAAAGAAGACATGTCTATAGAATATAGTGGAGAAATCAAGTGACAAGAAGATTGTGCAGCAGTGCACCAAATATTTGCTTTATCCGTGTTTGCCCGGTAAGGTCACACGTTTGGATTGGGTGTCGCTGCTGCCTTCTCCACAGACGATGTTGTAGCATTCCTTGGTGCAGATAAATAATGATTTATATGGTAAGCACTTCGGTTCTCAGTGTGACAGATGCAGGAACTGGCACCGACACCGTTCTGGCCGTGGCCAGCCTGAAAACAGTTAAGGTGGAACAGAGAATTTTGAGCTTTGGGGATGTAACTAGAGTAATAATAAAGAGTTACTCAAACATGTTTTTGATTAGGTGACAATATTTTTATTTTGTGTAATATTGGACCTTTAAGCTACAGAGTCCACAGAGACATTGCACCTACTGTGCATGATTTTAGTTTTATAAGGGAGAGCCTGGAGGAAACCCAAACAGGAGAAACATACAAACTTCACACAGAAAGACCCTGAAGTCAAACTCAGGACCTTCTCACTATGAGGTGAGTGTCCTTGCCACTCAGACACCATTGTTTTCAACTCTTGTTACCTAACTACTCTAACGTCAGCCCCCAAACTATGTCATTCTGTCAGCGCCTTCACTCAAAAAAACAAACAAACAAAACAAAAAAAACTCTGACCAATTGAACCTTTCTTTTGTTATCATGCTGCAAAAACTAAAATCTTACCAAATTCATAATTCCTTAAATTATGAAAGTTTGATTGTGATTTTAGTAAGTTTCATTTAACAAGTAAAATTACCTACCAATGGAACAAGGCTTTTTGTACTTAAAATATGAAAATACATCTTGAGATAAGAATCTTAAGATAAGAAAAACAACAACTTTATGCACTTAAAATAAGAAACAAAATCTAATGTTGCTTGAATTAAGAAAAAATGTATTCCATTGTTTGATACTTTTACTTGTCAAGTTGGATCTACTTATGCTTTCTTAATTTAAGTAATTTTAACTTTCCTAGATACTGCTTTTTGCAGTGTGTCAATGTAATCTCCAAAACACTTAACATGAACTGTCATATACGATGTATTCAGTTTGCATCCTCATTTGAGTTGTACCGAAACATCTTCATTTCTGTCTATAAAATAATGTTTTATAAAACACATTTATGAGAAAAAACAAACTGTGTCACAGAACCTTGCTAGAAAAAAAAGTGTTTACAAAAATGACTCATGAGTGAAATGAGTCCTCTTTCTGTCAAGCCAAAGGCGGTCAGTGAGTCAGGGTAACAGGTTAAGGTTAAAAAGTGTTGCTGGGAATCCACCAGGGCCAAACTCCACACACATAATAAGGATTTGACAAATGCGTAATCGATTTTTTGTTTCTTTATTTATGAATAAAAACACTTACCCATGAGGTAGTCTGTGGTTTCAGGGTTAACTGCATCAAAATGTGTTCTATTCCACACATAATGCGCGACCTGGAAAGCCAGTAACAGAGTGTGAAGAAGATATTACAACAACAACACTACTATCGCTAATATTACTACTACTACTACCACTACTGCCACTGCTACTACTAATACTACCACCACTGCTGTTACCATTACCACTACCACTATTACCACTACTACCACTACCACTACCACTACTACTGCTCCTACTTAACAGTAGTCTAATAAATAATGTAGTCTTTCCTCATGCATTTGCGGTACACATATGTACTCAAATATTAGCACACTAGTCCCTCTCTCTTGTATTTGTTTAGCTTGCCTCTGTTTGGCTTGCCTCTGTTTACCTGGCCTCTGTTTAGTTTGTGTCTGTTTTTTGTTTGTTTGTTTAGGTACTATGGCAAAGAAGTCGTGACTACCTGGCTCATACACTGAGCAGATTTTGAAACTTTTAGTTTTTTGACCTGGATTTTTCACACCTTTTCATGGGATTTGAACCAGCTAAGAAGAGCAGCATGTACACTTCAAAGGACATGAGTAAGGGACTGGATTGGATTTTGGGAAATATAAGTATTTTTTTTCTTGTATTCATGGAGGCTGTGAAAGAGGCTAGTAGCTGGGCTTTTTACGGGCTTTTTACCCCTTATGGGGCAACAAATGTGGCAGAAGATCTTCCAGGAGAAACACTTAGAGGGAATGGACCATTTCATCACCAACCAAAACACTAGAGCGGAGTAAGAGCGAGGCCTTGTGTTCACCTGGCTCCCCCTGGGGGCTGCTGTGATGCTGTAGGACAAAGAGAAAGGGCACTTTTGGCTCTACTTGCCCTGATACAAGATCTGCTGACCCTCCCTTACGAGTTCTCCTGTTAAACTGCACTGAGAACTTTGACTGAGACACAACGATGAGGCACGCCAGTGGAAATGTTGCAGCAACATCGACTGCTGCAGCAAAACCTGAATTTCCCTCGAGATCAATAAAGTATCTGTCTGTCCATTTGTTTCTCTTTAACTTGCCTCTGTTTAGCTCTTTTGCTGGCCTCTGTTTAGCTCTTCTCTGTTTTGCTGGCCTGTGTTTAGCTCTTCTCTGTTTTGCTGGCCTTTGATTTTCTGGCCTCTGTTTAGCTCTTCTCTGTTTAGTTGTTTAGCTGGCCTCTGTTTAGTTGGCCTCTCTTTTGCTGGCCTCTGTTTTGCTTGCATGTGTCCTGTGGCTGTAGCTCCAGGTGGCTGTGGGCACATAACACGAGGAGACATGTTGACAGGGCTGTTACACTCTGTCTGGTTTTCTGAGGTCACTAATTTGTGCCAATTGTTCAGGAGCAGGAAGAGCAGGTGCAGCGACACAAACACAACAAACACAGCAATGGACCAGTGACTCCAAGCAACCACTCAGGTTTAGATATTACAGATAAAAGAATCAGCTTCTATTGCATCTATTGCAAATGTCTTCTCTAACTGTTCTTGAAATATACAGTCGTTTATATACTGAGCATAAATACAATAAAAAGTTCTATATGCATTTTTTTATATCTTCTTTCTCTTCCGTTGCTTTTATATCTATTAGTTACCCAAATTAGAACAGAAATAAAACTTAAAATCCTTATTGCTTAAATATGTACTGTAAAACATTTCTAGTACAATGGCACCTGTTTATGTCCAGATAGTTGTTATTGCTTTGTATAGAATGTTCCACAGTATGGCATTACTTATCTATCTCCATGGATTCAAGCAGGTGATGCCACGATACAATCATACAAGTAAGATCTGGTTGGAGTATTTGTTTTATTCTCTCAAATCTTGTAATAGAAAAATATCATTAAGTCCTGTGATTAAGTGAATACAATAATTCTTTCAACGGGAGAGAAGAGAGGAATTATTTGTTCACCTTTCCAAGCTTTTTCTCCTTCCACTCGTCGATGAGGTTGCGTCCATCTTGACGTTTGCCTCTGGACAGAATATCCCAGGGGTATTCTGGGTCTTTAGTGCCTCTTGGGGTCATGTATTTCCTTCCACCTCCAATAATCACCTGCAAACATACACACACACAAACACACAAACACGCAGAAACAAACCCACACAAGCACAAACCCACACACAAACACAGGCACAAACACACACAAACACACACAGACAGGCACACACACATGTTACTATGGCATTCTGAGCAAATCTATACTCTCATTTATCTGGCAGAGCACTTACTGCAGACTGGACAATTGCATTTGTAGATGACTTAATATTCACGTATTGATGAATACTGAGATAATATACTCAAGTAAAACAAAAATTACTCCTAATTTTTGGTTTTCTTTTTTTTTTTTTTTTGCCATTTTACATTCAAGTTGTACATCCAAAGTGAGGTTTAGTTCTGAACCAGTGTAACTGGATGCAGTTATACTATGGACCAACTTCATTCTTTACTGTAAGTTTGAAGTTCACCACGAAATGCACCATTGATTTTGCAAATGTACACACAGAACAAGTACCATTACTGTTAGAGAAAATGTATTTCTGTGCTGTGCCGAGGGCACTCACTGCTATTTCAGTCTCTGTTATCCTGGTTTGTATCATCAGCTGTATAATACTCCCTACAGTGGATGCATACTTGAGCTTGACCAGACTGGGCAGTACTAAACTGGAAAGAACAATACTGTCATAATCTTGAAGGTTCATGTCTCTGGGTGCTGGGTCCTGCACTGATGCTCAATAAATGTATCTTCAACTCTGGGGCTTCTAACATTTATTCTACAACAGTGATGAAGAAATAATCCATTCTTTTGCTATACCTGTAAATAATTTTACGCCTGCCAGGGTTTATAATATAACAGCCACTCTATTTTAAACCTGTTAAACCTGCTCTTACATCGATGTCTGTGTTGTTGATGAGCTGAGCAGAGATGTCCGTGCACCCGTCCTCTTTGGCTGAGGCGGACATATCAGCGTCACTGTACCACTTCCTGCTGGCGCTGTGGGCGTAGGCTGTGGCAGGAGTGGCGTGCTGCACCCTGGTGGTGGTCACTATGCCAACGGATTTACCTGCAAGGGACAAAGGATTTGACCCAAAAAGTGACGTCAGAAAAGCAGGTGATGGAAACTACCCTGGACCTATCCATGGTGCTGGAATGAAACACTATTTTCTGGAAACTGTAATTTGCCCTGTGCAAGAATTTTGGACAAACATCAACTGAAGTAAACATTTTCTCAATTAGCTTTTTTTTTTTTTTTTTTTTTTTTTTTAAAGCTATCTAGTTCAGTATTTCTCAAACTATGGCACAAGTATTACTGGTGGTACCTGAGCTCCAGGATACCAGGGTGGGTTTGCCTCATTTGGAATTTATTTTAGCCACTTTTTTGATCCTCTTTTGGATAATAGTTTATCCCTAGATTAGACCTGGAATAGTTATATGTATACATATACTTGATTTAAGACCCAAACTATATTTTTTAATGTATTCTTATTATAATTTATTTATTTTTCGTGTATGAAGGTTAAGAGCCACTGATCTACCTATTTTCTTGGTTTAAAATGGTGCATATAGTGACATTATTGAAACACTGACAGCAACATTATTGATATTAAATTTAGTGCTGTCATGCGATTAAAAAAATTGAGAGATTAATTAATTATGATCTGTAATTAATTAATCTAATTAATCTCATTTTAATCTCACCTAAAAATTGCTGAGAAAAGCCTTCAATTTGAGGTATTTTCATTTAAATTCATTATTACATTATTGTGGCAGATCAAAAGACTCATATAGAACAAAAAAAAAGTGACTTGATAAAGTCATTTATTGTTCAACAAATCTCTTCAATTTGGCTGTTGAGCCCAAGTCTCCATGAATAAGAAACTGTTTGCTGTAAAGTAGCAAAGACGAGGAAATCTGAACATAATAACTTTTGTCTACTTAAAGACAATAAAAAGTCCAGTCTTTCCTTAACCATGTTAAAAATATTATTGATAGAGAAATGCTTTAGATATGAGATCACTGGTTTTAGTCCTTGTTTTAGTCCTGGTTTAGACCTGCTTTAGTCCTACTTTAGTCCTGGAATGGATTAATCCTGGTTTTAGTCCTGGTGTTAGTTCTGGTTTAGGCCTGGTTTAGTCCTGGTTTAGTCCTGGTTTAGACCTGGTTTAGACCTGGTTTAGACCTGGTTTAGTCCTGGTTTAGACCTGGTTTAGACCTGGTTTAGTCCTGGTTTAGTCCTGAACTGGATTAGTCCTGGTTTTAGTCTTGGTGTTAGTTCTGGTTTAGAGGCGCATAGGACGAAGCGCGGTTTACTCAGCGTAGCGAGAAAACACGATCCACACGCGGCGCACGGGAGCACGTCGGTGTCCGCGCAGTAACTACGGAAGGAAACGTGGTCCACGCGTTCTCAGGTTGATGACGATGATGAAGGTGTGTGTGTGTGTGTTTGTGTGCGTGTCCCCTCATGTGGCAGGTCACTATAGGACAGTAGTGCAGACATCATGAGCCTATGCAGGTTGTTTTCAGGTGATATTATATTTGTTATTTTCTTTTATATTTCACGTTGGGAGAATAATTTCCAAGACACGAATGCGTTTTTACCTGTGCACTGCTGACTCTGTTCTACTGGCTCTTCGACCTCGTCCATTGTGCGACTGACGCCGCCAACGTTAACATCACGTTTACGTCGCTCTTACTGCGCGTGTTTTGTGTGGGTTTCCGGCAATGAGTGGAATTACCGAAATAAAAAAATGTATAAATGTTTTTTTTTGTCTGTGTGTTGTTGTCCCAACAACACATAAAAACAGGGTTTATAATAAAGCAACTCTCATACAGAAACAGTAAAGTTAGAGATTAAAAATGAGATTAACGCGATTAAAAAACATAACGCGCTAAATATGACTGTAATTAATTAATCGCAATTAACGCGATAATTTGACACCCCTAATTAAATTATGTAATTTTACCATAGGTGGTTAGTTTTGTTTATTATCTCCTGTGAAGAAGCAAAGGGTAAATAGAGGAGCAGACTTTTACCTGTGGTGTTACAATGACAGTGCACATTGTGTGATAACATGTTTACAACTGGAGATAAGAACTAAGGAGGAGGAGGAGAAGGACACTTTTGTACATGTCCTGAAAGTCCAACCGGTCTGATCAGATCAGAACTGGACATTGAGGAATGAGGTGTCCTAGTTAGGATCACGTTGTTATAATATCCTCTGTGTAGGCCAGCCATAGCGTAATTTGTTGTACATGTATTTTGTAATAGAAAAATATCCAATATGAAAATTGTATTGATATTTGAACGAATGTTAGTAAGATATTAATAACACATATTAATCGCTAAGTAGTAATTAGTATGTTACTTAGAATAGAAAGCCTTTACTGTCATTATCCACAGTATAATGAGATGCAGAGCTGCTCCTTCAAAGTGCACAGAATTAACTGTTCTCAGTGCAAACTTGAGTTAAGTATGGTGACAGCTTTGGGAAAGAAGCTGTTCCTAAGTCCTTAAATAAGAGTTAATAACATTAATCGCTAAGTGGCAAGTGGTATGTTAGATAATGGTTATTCAAGTATTATGCAGTGTTTATAAAGCATTGTATTAAAATAGCTGTAATAATGTGCAATCCCTATGGCGCTAAAAAGCAGTAGAGGAAAAAAAATGTCAAAAAGATAAATAGTACTTGATAAAGACCAACAAAAATTTTATGAAATACTTAAATGTTGGCAGCTTTAGATGCCTAATAAAACTGCAAGACTGCAACATGTTTTCACTCGAAAAACATTTGTCCAGTTGACAGAATTGATTTTTTTTCTTTTGTTATGACCACCTATTCAGTTTCAGAGGTTTTTTGATTTATGGGTGCCATTTTGAATACTTGGAGAGAGTGTTTGTCTTTGTTTCCTGGTTACACTGCTTTATATGTAGCCCATAAAATGATATTGTAATGTCTAACTGAACTACAGGTGTTGTGTATGTATTAAGTGTGATTGTCTGACCTGCATCTTTGGCCCACT